TCAATTGCGTGCACTAATCCCGTCACCACTAATCCCAGCACCACTACTCCCAACATCACTACTCCCAACATCACTATTCCAGGAAAGACACACCATCGACGATAATACGACATGTGTTTTGCCTCTACACGAGGCATCTTCAGGTGATGATGACTCTACGGCAGCTGTTAGCACTGCTCTTGGGATTAGTGGTGACGGGATTAGTACACGCAATTGCGGGAGGGCGGGAGGTGCTCTTCAAACTAGTGAAAACACATCATTTTATTTAATGGAGCGGATGGTTGCAAAGTAACTATTAATATCTTTATCATAATGGATTTCCGCAAAGTAACGCCTGATTCTATCAATTAACACATGATTTTATTTTATTATGGGTATCTTAGCCGATTAGTTTTTAAAAATTTTAATTTTACTATTCAGATTGTTTGTCTCCTCCGCTGAATATAATTTTGAAAATTCCCTCTTCTCTCTTTCCTTCGGTCCAGGTTTTCGGTCAGTGAGTCAGTGAATCAATTAGTGATAAAAATGGCTTTTTTCGTACCTTAATAACTAAATAGCTTTTATAATGTAATTATAAAAGCTATTAAGTTATTAAGGTACGCTAACTCGCTTTTTACTTAACCTGTTTAACTTATTGTTAAATCCCGACGTAATGCGTTATTACTCGTATATTAGTATAATATAAGAAAACAATGTTTTGTGTAATTCTTTATGAAATTTAGGATGCTAGGTATTCAAAGTGAGTTCAATAGTCACAAGAGCGTAGGCTCTACAGTTTTTAAGTCATGGGTGGTCGAATGCAGCTCTAATGGTTTATGTAAATACTGCCGCACTGCTAGAGTGTACATCTTTTTTTTCCAAACCTGACTGACATACTGTGTCTATATTAATAATGCTGTCATCCTTTTATACTACTTTACTTTACTTATCTTCACGCACAATCCCTAACGGGGTAGCCAGAGAGAATAGATCGCCAAGTGTCACGATCCTTACATACCTTCTTTCGCTTCTTTCAGGTTCATTATCTTCTTCATACATGCACGTCTAGGTATTCGAGTACTCTTGACCTTCCCCTCTTCGAGTAATTTGCTCACATGGTCTTCGAAAGTTAGTCTCGGTCTACCTCGACACCTTTTAATATTTACTTTCGCGCTATATATTTTCTTCACCATTCGGTCTTCACTCATTCGCTCAACGTGCCCAAACCATCGGAGTACGTCCCTATCAATTTTTGTGATAAGGTCATATTTCAATCCTGCCATATTGCGAATCTCTTTGTTTCGCTTTCGGTCGGCTATGGTAACGCCGCACATTTTACGAAGAGATCGCATCTCCACTGCATTCAACTTGCTTTTATGCTTCTTCTGGCATACCGAGGTTTCGCTGCCATATAACAAAGTCGGTACCAACACTGTGTTATGTATTGCAAGGCGTGCACTCTTCACTACGCCTTGCCTTTTGACTAACGCATTCAGGGCACCATTGACTTTGTTCCCGGCAGAGACTCGTCTGTCCACAACTAAATTACATCTTCCATCCCGGCTGAAAGCACTCCCCAAATATACAATTTCATTTACCTGTTCTAGACATTCCTGATTTACCCATATTTCACATTTCGTTCTCTCTTCGCCTTTTCAAATACCAGAACCTTAGTTTTATTAGCATTCAAACGGAGACCTTTAATTTCACATTCCTCTTTCATAAACGTGACTAATGCCTGCAGTTCTGCTTCTGATGGTGCAATAAGCACTGCATCATCAGCATACAGCAGACAATTTACTTTAATGTCACCCAATTTCACACCCAAACAGCTATTTTTCAGCTTTTTAGCTCAGCTGTAAACAGCTGTCGAGATACAGTATGAACAACCAGAAAGACATGACACAACCCTGTTTTACGCCTGCTTGGACGCTAAACATGGGTCATGCCCTATCTGCACATAGGCTTTACAGTCATAGTAAAGTGACTGCACAGCCCTTAATAATCGACCATCCACTCCATATTCCGGCAACAGTTCCCACATTTTCTTCCTTATAACCTTATCAAATGCTTTCTCCAGATCCACAAAAGCACAGAAAATCCTCTGGTTAACAGCCAGAAGCTTTTTCGTGATCATGCGGAGAGAAAAAATTTGATCCGTGCATCCTCTTCCAGGTCTAAATTCGCATTGTGCCTCCCATAATAATCTTTCCGATTTCTCTTGCATCCTACGTGTCAAAACTTTCGAGTAAACTTTACTTGCTAAACTGGTCAAGCTGATCGCCTGATAACACCCGCAGTCAAAATGTGAACCTTTACCTTTATATAAAGGCACATTGACCGCGGATCGCCAGTCATCCGGGACACCTCCCGTCCGCCAGCACAAATTGCACAGCAGATGAAAGCTGTCCCAGACACGACGCCCACCGTACTTGACCATTTCAGCATTAACTCTGTCTAGTCCCACAGCCTTACCACATTTCAAACTTCGAATCGCACGTTCAATCTCTTTCATGCTGATGATCTCAGTGTCATCAAGGTCCGTGTTTGGCGTACCAGTCACGGCGTCACCCCCGGATCCTTCACTAAGATCATGACACGCATACATTTCTCTATAAAATTCGCTCCATCGCTGCATGACGTCCGATTTTTCTGAGAGGACGTCATTGGCTTTCGAAAGCACTTTGTTCATTCTTAAGGCTGTCACACCACTCCGAGACCTTCCAACCTCTTTCCATAAGAGTTTGGAGTTTTCCTTAAAGTTGTGCGACAACCTTTCGTCGGCTTCTATTCTACACCTTTCACGTACTTCCTCAATCAATGTTTTCGCATGAACTTTCTGCAGCTTATATCTTTCTATCATCTTCTCTCTCAAGTGCTTATAGTTACTAGAGGCCAAGTAGTCTAACCATACTTTTTTCTTCACTTCATCATTCCACCATGCATCTCTTCTTTTACTACTACCTCTTTTTGTCGTTCCACATACTTCTAACGCTGCACTTACCATTCCATCCCTAAGGTTCTGCCATGTTCTTTCCACACATTCTTTTCTGCCATCAATGGTGTCAAGCTTTTCAGATACCCTCGTGTGATATTTGTCCTTAGTATCCGCTTCCCGAAGCTTCCAGCTTCGGACGCGACAGACCGACTGTGGTTGTTACTGCCGTCCGGTAGCGCCAACCCGCGAACAAACCCCTAAATCTAGTAATTACTAGATAGTGATCCGTTCCCAGGTCAGCACCCCTGAACACTCGTGTATCCATCACCTGTTTTCGCAGTCGGTCATCCACCAGGAACAAATCAATCATACTTCTCTCATTCTTTCTTTCTCTAGTGTACATATGGATTTTCCTGTGATTAAACATAGTGTTTGTCACAAGAAGACCCTTTTCCTTGCATACAGCCAATACAAGCTTGCCAGCATCATTAACCCTTTATCGCCAAACTTTCCAAGCACCGACTCGTATCCTGGTCGAGCAATACCTACCCATCCATTCAAATCACCACATACAACACTTTCGTTTCCCTTAACCAAATCTGGAACTTCTCTTACATTCTCCTAAAACTCCTCCAGCTCAGCCCTGGACGACGAAGCTACAAGCGCATAAACAGCCAAAAGGAATAACTTCGTCAGTCTCAGTTTAAAGCGAACCCAGAGAAGTCTTGAGTTCACAACCTTATATTCAGTTATAAGATCGACCAACCGGGACGACAACAGCACCCCCACTTCCTGGCAGGCGTTCTCGCTTTCCGGGACTCCGGACCATATAGCTAACGTCCCACCAGGGAGCTCTTCCGTACCACTACCTTTCCGTTTGGTTTGGACATACACACGACATCTAATTCTCTTTCTTTCATTATTTCGATCAACTCATTCGTCTTATCTCTTATGCCCCCTCTAACATTCCACGTGCCAACTCTGCACTCCGTCCTCCACCTTCCGCCGTGTCGGGCTGTGCGTGACAGGTGGCGGTCCCCATCGCCGCTTTGCGTGCTGCATTCCACACCAACGGGGACGAGCTGGTATGCGTCGCCTTGGGGGGACGCTGACAGTAAGTTAATGCTGTAGCCCATAGACATTTACCTCTATTATCGAATAAGAATCAAAATACAAATGAGTTGTCACATCTCAGGACTAATTTGTAATGCCCCGTTTCCAGTAAATTCGTAACGCAGCAGCATTAATCTGCTATTTTACAGTGGTATTCTGTAAAAAAACGACGGATTGCACTCCGGGAGTGCCGGCAGAAGTGAAAACTTGAATATTAACGGTGTGCATTGCATTTTTGATATTTTGGAATGGTTAGGGAATAATTTTGCACGAATTGCTTTAATTATCATTATAAAAGTACTATCATTTATGTGGTAGAATACAATATTTATTTATTGCGCTATCGTACACAAACATGACAATTTATATTACATTAAAAAGTTTATCTCTCAGAAAAATCAACTTCCATTCATAATTTCGACGACGTCTTACGAATTTTCGATCAGGGACGTGTCCTGACGCGAGTTTAACATTTTTTATCCATTACAAAAAAGTGTACAACGCCGCTAAAGAAGTTTCACTTCAAAAGTGGAATCTTCTGTCAAAGTATAATTAATTTATACAGCTTGATAAATATTTTCCACGCAACTGTACAAAACCATTCAAATTTATAATTATATACATCTTAAACTCGACATATCAAAACAGCTTTATATTTTGATTTTAAATGTTCAAACATAATTCGACTGTATTTTAAAGTAGTTAAGGTTTAACTTCACAACAACATCGTTCTTACCAGTTAGTAAATCGATTTATGAGCCACGCCCTATTGTTTTAATCGATATAGCTTTACGTTTGTAATTTATGTCTTTATTATACGATTTAAATTGTCTCTTCATTTGCAAATACCAATTTAAAATTATAAATGTGTTACAAGTGTAAGCAGCTCAGTGGCGAATATAGCTGCTCAATTGAACAAAGGGGATACTTGTTAGTAATAATAAAGGAATTACACATAATATAGCCTTTATTAAGGAGGATCAGATTCGTATTTGTCGGCAGGTGGCTTCAAAGCTTCCTCGTCCGATATATCACTATCAATTTCTTCTTTTCCTTTACCTTTATCTTTTCCTTTTTTATCTTTCTTGGGCTTTTTAACTTTTCCTTTGTTTCTTCCTTCAACGTCTACTCTTTCTCCTTCTTCATCTACTTCCCCTTCTTCTTCTTCATGTCCATCTTCAGAAGATGACGCATCTTCATCACCTTCTTCTTCTTCTTCTCCCGGTTCAGCTTCTTCTCTAACAGCAGTACCATTATTCATCCAAGCTTCTATAGTTATTTGGTAGAACTTTGTTAATATCGACACGGGGATTCGAAGCTAAAACATGATTAAAATATAAGTAGGTATTAAATTATACACATATATGGTAGCTTAAGAGTTAAGTTTGTTTACGTGGTAGACACCCGCTGCAGCGATATTATGATTGTAATTTGTAACACGATTAAGACGACTCGGTATTACCACGCTATCACAGAATACCAGTGTAAAATAGCAGCTTAATGCTATTGTATGGTGAGTGTAAAAAATCGGAGACCCTTTTAACTGCAAACGAGGCATTCCGTCTTAGCCTTCAGAGGTGTATTTGGATTTTTAATCCAGGATAGATGTAGATGTTTATGGGCTACTTACCATCAGATGGACTGTGTGCTCGTTTATCACTATATTCTATAAAAAAGAGCTCGCCGTAAATTTTTCATATATTGAGCAACCAGTGTTCGATTCCCACCGGCACCAATGAATTGTTAATTACATTTTAGGTACAGATGTACAACGTGGGCAACGGTTAAGAAAATTATCTTTACACCACAGAGCTTAAGAGGATAGAGTAAGTCAGCTCAAATTCTAATTTCGCCCCCACTTCCCCGCGCGTCGTATGCTATGTACCGACATGTTTATAATCACTAATACTGTAAGTAGATAGGTCGTTAGATACTTATTTCATTAGGTTTATCATATTTATGCCTGTTTCTTAACGCCAACCCAGTCGCTTCTTATTTTTATAACGGTTATTTCCCATTTTAATTTTACGTCGTCCTGTTGCGTAATGTGTATTCTGATCGTAAGCGACACAACTTCTCCCTTCAAAAGCCGCAGCGATTCGAGCGATACTAACGGGGCGACAGGAATCAAGCTTACGCGCCGGTAGTTTAGGTAATTTCTTTTTACAGTAAAAATAATGGTATTTTAAAAAAAGTAAATAACATAAGCACTGCTTTATAGTTAGTTCAGTTAGTATGCAAAGTTTCATGATCTTATTTAAAGTATTTTATGAATAACAGCGGTTTATTGTTCAGTTTGGAGGTAACTTTGGATTTTTTTTTATCGAGAAAATTTTACGAAATCGTGTTTTCGTCTAACATAGTCCTTAACATTAATCCTCAACTTTACCATATATTTATTTCAAAATTAATGCTGCAATACTTTCGGCATAACGGAGGATCTTCCTAAGCCATTTGAGATTATATTTCCCCTTAAGCATTGTCGTCGCGCCACAAAAAAAAAACATAAAATCACGCTACAAGTTACAAAGTACTGCGGTATATAAAGAACAGCTCTGTACTAACACGCTGAGCAACTGCGAGCCCTGTATCAGATGAAGCTGTGAAAGCCAAATAGGCTAACGGCACTCCATCACAGAATAAAGAAAGATAACACTCTGAGCCTTATCCGATCAGAGTTAGGCGTTAGGAGATTTCCCCTTTTCTTTCTACGGCTAAAGCCACACGTTTGAAAAATAAGATATTTCAAGAACTTGTAAGGACCACCAACACTTACTAGAACAGCGTTGAGAACTAACGCCCTATAACCTTTCTCATGAACAACAAGCATGAAAGGTGGTCTGTGTTGTCGTCAGAAGTATGGCTAGGCTATATACCATACCATAATTAACAAAAACATGTAACATAACATTGCGAGCACATTTCGACTTCTAATAACATCAAATAATCAAGTACGAATGAATGAATGAATATACTTTTATTGTACACCACAAACAAATATACAGATAACAAAACAAAAATCAGATTATAATATTATGTAAGTACAATTTGGCGGCCTTATCGCTACGTAGCGATCTCTTCCAGGCAACCAAAGGTGTAAGGGTTAGAACAGTGAAAACTAGATAGGTGGTGCAATATAAATATACATACATATATATAAATATATAAACAAACTTACACATTTACACATTTTATATATATATAAATAACAAAATTCCTCAAACAATAATATTAAGCAGATAAATACAATAGATACATAATCACCTAATTTATTGTAGTAGTAGTAGTATTTATTCAAGTAGTTGCACATCAATCAATCATTCATATCAATAACAATATCATTATCATTATAACAATACCAATCATAGTCAATCATGTGGTGGTTATTTTACAATAACCTTCCGAATTTACAGAGAAGGTTAAGAATAAGCAAAAAACATAATATAGGTAAATGGTGAAGAAAAATGAATAAAAAATCTCCTCCTAATTATCTCTTAAATTCAAGATGCGTGGTAGTGCACTATTTTAACTGATTTTACTGCGCATGCCCACACTCATAAGGGTCGATCGGTAGGGGAAAACGTTCTTGCCTATAAATCACATTTAATTTGGAATAATTTCAAATAAAAGTAGAAAAGCCTTATGCACTCGTATTTTCAAAGACTGCAATAACGGTATGTAATTATGTGGCCGTTGAAGAGAAAGAAAAGGTCTCCCACCGGGCAAGGTGTTCTGCCTGAGGAGCGGTCGACGCTCCCTGTGAAAGTTCTGAGCTAATTCTATATATACTGGTACTTCGGAACTTTGATAGCGCGATTTAGGTTTCGAAGTGTTTCTACCAGGAGCACATAACCCACTGAGAAAGTGAAATTATTAATTCAACTGTTACGTCACGAGTTACGACTATGGCAAATATGGCTTCCCTATGAGGCAATATATAGGGAGGCCTATGTTCTACAGTGAAATTTAATAGGCTGTAATGGATGGATGTATAGAAGATAATCTACCAGGAGCACATAACCCGAGGTGAAATTATTAATTCAACTGTAACATTACGACAATGGCAAATATCTCCCCTATGAGGCAATCTATGGGTGAAGCCTATGTTCAACAGTGAACTTCAATAAGCTGTAATGGATGAATGTAGAGAAGATAATCTACCAGGAGCACATAACCCACTAAGAGGTGAAATTATTAATTCAACTGTAACCTTACGACTATGGCAAATATCTCCCCTATGAGGCAATCTATGGGTGAAGCCTATGTACAACAGTGAACTTCAATAAGCTGTAATGGATGGATGTATAGAAGATAATCTACCAGGAGCACATAACCCACTGTGAGGCAATCTGTGGGGGAGGCCTATGTTCAGAATTGGACTTTGATGGGCTATAACGTTAATGGAATGCCTCATCGGCGTATTGGTCGTAAACGTGGCTGCCGCTAATGCAGTACAGTTACAATACAGTCAATCCTAAAAAAAATGTCCTACAGGCCGAATTTCGGTCACGGCGGCAAGCCTTGACGGAGACTAGCCATTGGCGCAGGACAGGATTATAGTGCCCAATTGTAGGCGTAAGCAGAGATGCACTCCCTATTCCCGAATTCTCATGGTCCGATGGGACGGTAAACCGACACAATCAGAGTGAGATCGGTTGCAGGACCAACGGCTTTACATGCTTTCCGAGGCACTGGGGTGAGACACCGCCAACTTACAGACTCCGGGCATCTGCTGAGAATTTCTTAATGGGAAAAACTTAATAACTGATATTTTTTGTCCCGTCTCGTGATTAATACCCAGGACCTCATTAATAGCAATCACACTACTACAACCACTAGACCAACGAGGCAGTCAAAAAAAACATAGTAAGCTACTGTTGTATAATACGTACCTTCACAGCACCAGTGTTCAAATCCCAGACCATCGGGTTTGCCATTTGGTACGGCATGCCAACCTTCACACATATTATTTTGAAAGGAGAAGGGGCATAGATCTGTGAAGATATAACAAATAGAAGGTGGAAATCGCTGTCATATACGTTACACTTAAAATGTAAATTTAATAAAATGTACACTTAATAAAACTTACATTTAAAAAATGTTCAAATAATAAAATTTACATTTAATAGAAACTACAAGCCGACTACGAACAACTAAAAATAATAAAACAGTTTTACATTATAAAGTCAGAGTCATTCTGAAGGTTGTTGAAGGTGGTTGGTATCGCATCGCATACATATGTATGTACGTACATACAAAAACCTATATACATACATTATCAAACACACCCGTTACCCAGAGGGGTAGACAGAAACTACAGACTTCCATTTGGCGCATTCCTGACACATCTCTCGCCTCCTTTACAATCTATATTCCTACGCATTCGGCGAATTTGACCCAATACTCAATATATCGCCAATTTGGTCGATAAACTTCTGTCTAGACCGTACCTTGCCGGCACTGCCGTTCAACTCTGCAACAAAAATGTATGCCATCAAAACATAACATTATTTATATATTATATTAATATTAAAAATCTTTTATGTTTAAAATAAATATATTGACTTGGGCCATCGCATGAAAATACAACGTATCTCCCAAGTAATACATATTATATTAAATTCGATTGCTTAGTGCGATTGCGAAGTCAATCTATTTATTTAAAACATAAAATATTTTAAATATTGATATGGTCACAATAAGATGTTTTTATGTTAGCTAATTACGTAATAACTGAAGAAAACAGGACCCTTAAGTAGGGACTGAATAAATTAACCGACTTGGTATTACATGGATCTCACAACTTTTTACGATAGAAGAACTGAGTTGCGAGACTTGTTTTTTTTTTACAAGTTATGTTTTTGATGGCATCTCATTTCTTTTTGCAGATAGTTCTTTTTTCCCTTCCGGCACCTTCTACTTCTTGATTACCAATAAAGTACCTATCTACACCTTTTATTTCATTATATTATACATATCCTATATATTATATATTTTGTAGTAGCCAGGCTAATCGGCAATAAATAATATATACCCTGCTGCTACCATAACACAGAAGGCGAATAAAACATTTATTTCCTAACTATCCCCGTCTACTGAGATACTGCGGGCTGCATATTGATGCGAGATAATTTGACGTATATATATTTAACGTTCTAATAAAGAAACAAGAAACAGCCGCAAATATTATTCAGCGCCACATCGTCTTCACACGCCGCTATCGTTATGTATCCGTCGACCATTTTGAAGCCGTTTCTTCAACGCCGCAGCTCGCTTCTTCTTGCTGTTCCGGAGCTGTGTCCCACGCCGCCGCCGCTCGCCGACTACGCGCGTGCTATTTTTTTGCGCCCGAAGCAAATATGGGCAACTCTCCGGAAAGCGGGGGAGGGAGGTGGCGAATGCTCATAGCATACCTTGCAGCCGGCTGCGTGGTTATGTGGAGACTTTTACCCACTAAACCCCACCTTTTAGGGACTGCCTTAACGGTCTAACTAGAGATCTCTAAGCTGTATACGGACGCGACCCTCCTTGGCAGAAAGGAGGGCGCAGGCAGAAAGAAGGGCGCAGGCAGAAAGGAGGGCGCACGCGTGCGCGCCGGCCTGCACAATTTTTATAGCCCAGTCCAGCGACGTAGATACGAGAATATAACACGAGTCTCACGCCGGCTAATGGAACGTACATAATAGTTGTATTTTAAATAATCTTTATTGGTCATAATGTATGTACTGTAATTGGCTAGGCAAATAAAAATTGTTACCATTGGTTAACTAACGACGCAGCCGGACATATAAATATAGGCTGGGTCGACGTAAAATTCATTCCATATCCCATATTCCGTATTCCATATTCTATACTCCATACACCATTCGTCGGCACATAAAATAGTATTTTTATTTCTCCACCACTTAACCACTCGGAGTCTGTTAATAGTGGACCTTATATCACAACTATTACAATTTATATAGGATTACAAAGTTATTTATGCAGTTAGTGTATCTAGAAAACTGGACCGAAATTGAAAAATATTTTAGTTTTTCCTTAATTTATATACTAAACACTAATTGTGTTCTAAGTTTGAAGCTTCTATATCTGTTAGAAGTGCCTTAGAGTTTTGATGATCAGTCAGTCAGTGAGTGACAAAATTAAGCAACTTTGACTAATTATAATTCCTAAGCTACTGGTTCAATTTGATTGAGATATACCGTGTCTATACAATTCTTGCTTGGTGTCTGAAAATTCAGGTTTCTATTTCTATCCACAACGAAGTTATAGGGGGTCGAAAATGGCCTGAATTGCTTCGAGAAAAGTATGGTACGGCCGCGCCGCTTTTTTGCTCGAATTGGCAACAATTGAGTGACAAAATCAGATTTTGTCACTCTTCTTTCAATATTTCTTTCTACATTACCAAACTACCGAAGCATTCCCTTCTTAATTCTGATCACATGATCATCTTGCAAATTACACTTTTTAACCAACTTCAAAAAGGATGAGGTTATATGTTCGACTGTATGTATTTTTATATGTATGTTCACCGATTTCTCCGCCAATGATATTGTACGGACGTGCCGCTTTTGTACCACACCACACTTACCGTGGACCGATTTTCAAATTTTTTTTTTGATTCGAAAGCCTATACTCCTGAGGTGGTCCCATCGTCACCAAGTCAGAATCTGAAGATGGCATTCCAGGGATATCGAGGGCAACCCCCAAATTTTATATGCACATACAATGTTTTTCATATACTTTCTAACGTAATTTAGGTATTTATGCCTGATAATCATCATCTCATGTTGCTGAACTGATAATGGAAAGCAAAACAGGATCTGATGATGGGATCCCAAGAAAATTAAGAATTTCAAATTTTACGGGTATTGTTTAAAACAGTATACTTTCCATATGTCATATCCATGGTCATTAGATCAGGATTTGATGATAGGATCCGAAATAAAGAGCAACCCTCAAATTTAATTAGCACCTGTACGTGCTAATAAAATTTGAAACGTTTTTGTTTAAAAATTTTTTTCGTGTACTTCGTAAAGCAATTCAAATATTTGTGTCTGATAGTCATCATCTCATGGTGCTGAGCTGATGAAGGAAGCGAGAACTCCTTAACGGTTCTGAAAGAGTTAGCAGTTATTAAAATATTATAGGTACTTTTAGACCGTTATTTAGATATGCACGCCTCCGTGGTACAATAGCTAAAGTGTCTAAATCTCAGCCCGGTGGTACTGGCTTCGATCCTTCGTTCAATTTTTCATTTTGTGATGTTGGTCCCAGTTTGGTTAAAACTTTGCAGGCTGATAGCAGGAAAAATTATGCTGTACTTCAGACGGCAAGTTAAGCAATCGGTCTCCGTTTCTGCTTCGGTAGTAGGTACAATTGTTAAGTGCACCAACTCGCGCTTGTTTATCCTGGTGGACAATGGCCTAAACCTCATCTAATGAGGAGAGATCGGAGCTCAGGATACGTTACATTTTACACCATATGAGGAAGCTCAAGGTCGCCCAGCAAGCTATGGAGAGTTTATCTGCGTGATAAACTCAGAAATGAGGTTATCGCAGTAGAACCAGAGTGACCGATATAGCCCAACGGATTAGTAAGCTGAAGTGGCAATGCGCCGGCCATATAGCTCGAAGAACTGACAACAGATGAGGAAGAAATGTTCTCAAGTGGCAGCCTCGTACCGGTAGGTGAAGTGTAGGGCAAAACCGCACTAGATGAAGTGACGACCTGGTAAGACATGCAGGAAGTCGATGGATGCAGGTGGCTCAGGACCGTGCTTTGTGGCATTCCTAGGTGGAGGCCATGTTCAGCAGTGGATTTGTGAAGGGCTGTAATGATTATATATATATATATATATATATATATATATATATATATATATATATATATATATATATATATATATATAGTGTGTGTGTGTCTTTGAACGGATTGAACAGCCATACAGAAGCTACAAAACTCTGTACGCCAGTCTAATGGATGCCAAACCAGTCCGTATAGACACCGTTACAAGAATTACAGTCCCTATAGAATTTTAATGTATATTTATCAGACCAACGCTCAAACCAAATGTTATAAACGTTTACCAAAGCAATCTTGTCCACTCTGTCATAAGCCAAGTCTAAAAATGCATAAAAAACTTTCTGGTTTACATTTATTTCTAAGGTTTATAAAATTTTAATTATTTAATATATTCATATTTTTTCTATAGGATAAGGGTGACAAACGAGCACACAGTCCACCTGATCATTAGTGGATGCTGTGGCCCATAGACATCTATCTACATTTAACCTCGATTAAGAATCAAAATGCAGGTGCGTTGTCACCCTTAAGGACTAAGATGGATTTTTTTTATAGAAGAGGGGGCAAAAGAGCATGCGGCTCACCTGATCGATAGTCACTACCGCCGCCCATGGTCAACCGCAACACCAGGGGAATTGCAAAAGCGTTGCCGACCTTTTAGAAAGGAGTAAGCTCTTTTCTTGAAGGTCCCTAAGTCGTATCGGTCCTGATAAGTCGTCGGTGGTAAACAATTCTACAGAGAAGTTGTACGAAATCCCTAGTAAAACGTACAGTAGTCGACCGCCAAGCATCCAGATGGTGAGGATGGTGTCGGGAATTTTGACGCGATGTGCGTTCGTGAAATTTGGTGGCTGGAACTAATCCGAACAATTCCTCGGAACACTACTCATGTAGATACGATAGAAAACGCAAAGGGATACAAGCGCAGCGCCAATGAATCGAGCCGATCAGAAAGCACTCCGTCGTCGACGATTCAAATCGCTCTACGCTGGATGCGGTCAAGTGGAAGGAGCTGGTACTGTGGTGCCCCGGCCGCAGCATGTGAGGCCGAACTTGTGCTTTGTAAAGTTGCAAACGATATGCCGGCATGAAATACTGTCTCGCTCTGCTGAGCATGCCAAGCTTTTTAGAGGCCAATTTGGCCTTCCCCTCCAAGTGACTACGAAACTGCACACTATTCGATATGTCAACGCTGAGGATTCTGATGCTAGTTGAGGCAGTGCCTTCAAACTGGGGAGATACGACAAAGGAGTTCTTTTTAGCAGTTAATGCGCAAACTTGTGTTTTCTGGGGATTAAATTGGACCAGATTTAGTCACCACACAAGTTTGTCCCAGTACTCGGTGACGATTTTCCGAGAAATATTGGCACGGCCGGTGTATAACCAGCATCACCAGTGCTGTCGTCTGCATAGCAATGAATGTTATCAGTTTGCAACATATCATTGATATGCAGAAGAAACAGCGTTGGTGATAGCACGCAGCCTTGTGGAACACCAGTGTTAATAGGCTTGTAATCAGAGCATGCACCGTCTCCTACGACCTTTATGCTTCGATTAGTAAGAAAGCTAGTGGTCCAATCGCACAATTTCTCGGGAAGCCCATAGGAAGGGAGCTTCGAAAGAAGCGCTTTGTGCCTGACCCAATCGAAGGCCTTCGCAATCGCTATGTCCAAACTAACACCTCCTTGAACTCTACTGCCTCTGCCCATCTGTCAGTTAGGTAGGCCAGAAGATCACCAGCTTAAAACGCAGATGCTTTGTCACCCCTGAGGATGGAATGCCTCGATTCCAGTAAAACAGGTCTCCGGTTCTCTGCACGGATCATACGAAACACAGCAGTATTAAGTTGCTATTTTACGCTGGTATTCGGTGAGAGTGTTGTTCTTCTCCGGTCGAGTCAACCTATTCGTGCTACAACCATTATATAGCTGCAGCGTGGCGTACCACGTACTGAAATTTAATTGAATAACATTTCAAAAATATTTTTTTAATTGAATATTGCAGACGATCGCGAGACAATGCAAGAAATAGCGAAGCCCTTAGCTCTGCAGTAGAACATGTTAATAGGCTGATAGAAATTCTATATTCTCATTTCTTCTTTCTGTCCATCCATTACAGCCTATAGAAGTTATTAAGAATTTTTAGGAAGACGCTGCTGCCCATCTTCTAATTTGTTTCCCTCTGTAATGACGATACCCACAGGATGGTATAGGTAAGTGGATATTCTTACACAGACACTACACTATTGTCTATTCTATTATTTTTAAGCAGGTAGAGCATTGCTACAGCTATATTGTGGTTGCAGCACGAATGAGTCGGCTCGACCGGGGTAGGACCACGCTCTCACAGAGTACCAGCTAAAAATAGCAGCTTAATGCTACTGTGTTTCGTATGGTGAGTGTTGAGAACCAGAGACCCTTTTTACTGGAAACGAGGTATTCCATCTCAGTTCTCAGGGGTGACAAAGCATCTGCATTTTAGTTTTCAATCGAGGATAAATGTAGATATCTATGGGCCACAGCCATCACTTACCACCAGGTGGACTGTGTGCTCGTTTGTAACCCTTATCCTATAAACAAAATAAATTAAAAAAATATTCTGTGCAATTACACATGTTTCTGATCATTTATAGGCTATACAAATATTATAACCGTGCGGGATTCAAACCTGCAGCCCTACGCCACCGCGCTACAGTCTATGGCCGAAATTATTTCATTCTTTTGCTGCTGCTGTTAGGGGTTTAGCTTTTAGAGTTACTTTTTATTGAAAGTAATTCTTTGCTTGAGACTAAACACTAACGAGATAGTTGAAAGCTACAAACCTCTAAATAAAAAATGATGTGTGATGACGTAGCGTCCGGATATATTTGGAATATCTCGTGGTAGAATCGATACATGTCCTGAGCGGCATCACCTCGGTCGTAGCAACGGATCCCGCCCATCCACCAGTGACCCAACCAAGTTTTGGACGTCCGCTCTAGCATTACGGCACGGGGCATTATGTAACCTGTTGTACAAAATTACACTTATTAAACAAATCACAAATATTTAAAAAGTAAGCGACCCTTACGAATGTGTGCGTGCGTAGTAAAATAGTAGGCGTTCGATATTTATGAATGACAATCAGTTACAAGAAGACATTACCACGTATTCTGGAATTTCTTTATTTTATAGGCAACAACTACACATAAGCGTACGCGTACCTAAATTCATAACCGCGCGATCCTTACGAATGTGTGCGTGCGTAGTAAAATAGTAGGCGTTAGATATTTATGAATGACAATCAGTTACAAGAAGACATTACCACGTATTCTGGAATTTCTTTATTTTATAGGCGACAACTACACATAAGCGTACGCGTACCTAAATTCATAACCGCGCGATCCTTACGAATGTGTGCGTGCGTAGTAAAATAGTAGGCGTTAGATATTTATGAATGACAATCAGTTACAAGAAGACATTACCACGTATTCTGGAATTTCTTTATTTTATAGGCAACAACTATACATACGCGTACGCGTACCTAAATTTATAACCGCGCGATCCTTACGAATGTGTGCGTGCGTAGTAAAATAGTAGGCTTTAGATATTTATGAATGACAATCAGTTACAAGAAGACATTACCACGCATTCTGGAATTTCTTTACTTTATAGGCAACTACTATGCAGACGCGTTTGCACACCTAAATTTATAACCGCGCGACCCTTACGAATGTGTGCGTGCGTAGTAAAATAGTAGGCGTTAGATATTTATGAATGACAATCAGTTACAAGAAAACATTACCACGTATTCTGGAATTTCTTTATTTTATAGGCAACAACTACGCATACGCGTACCTAAATTTATAACCGCACGACACGAATGTGTGCGTGCGTAGTAAAATAGTAGGCGTTAGATATTTATGAATGACAATCAGTTACAAGAAGACATTACCACGTATTCTGGAATTTCTTTATTTTATAGGCAACAACTACACATAAGCGTACGCGCACCTAAATTTATAACCGCACGATACTTACGAATGTGTGCGTGCGTAGTAAAATAGTAGGCTTTAGATATTTATGAATGACAATCAGTTACAAGAAGACATTACCACGCATTCTGGAATTTCTTTACTTTATAGGCAACAACTATGCATACGCGTTTGCACACCTAAATTTATAACCGCGCGACCCTTACGAACGTGTGCGTGCGTAGTAAAATAGTAGGCGTTAGATATTTATGAATGACAATCAGTTACAAGAAAACATTACCACGCATTCTGGAATTTCTTTATTTTATAGGCAACAACTATGCATACGCGTTTGCACACCTAAATTTATAACCGCACGACCTTACGAATGTGTGCGTGCTTAGTAAAATAGTATTCGTTAGATATTTATGAATGACAATCAGTTACAAGAAGACCTGTGGAAGAAAGAATACCACGTATTCTGGAATTTCTTTATTTTATAGGCAACAACTACGTATACGCGTATTCTGGAATTTAAAAAATAAAGAGGACAGAACGTTTGAGTTTTTTTTAGTTAGTTATACTAATTTTTATTTCAATTGTCACTTATATTATTTACTATAAAACTTCTCTGCAAATTTGGACGTATATTACAAAATAACCATAAGTAATATATAATCTGTAGAATATTTTTATATAAAACTAGCTTGGCAGGCAGACGTTGTTCTGCTCTTTTCGACGACCCTTTGTCATGTCCTATTAAAAATCTTTAAATTAGCAAACATAAATTGTGGGTCAGTCATGGGCAAAAAACTTTTCTATCTCTCAAGTTGGACCAAACTGCACACGGTGTGCAAATTTGATTAAAATCGGATAAGTAGTTTAAGAGTCCATCGCGGATATAGTATTTATAGTATTTATGTTATATATATATATATATATATATATATATATATATATATATATCGCAACCACAATATAGCTGCAGCGTGACTCTTCTACGTTATACTGCTCCCAATAATTAAAGTGGCAACTTAAACAACCCACCAAACGGATCGTCCTTAGCGAAGGCTCCCACAGGCTTGCCTGATATGGCGGTAGTTATCCAGGGCACGTATGGATGCAGCCGGATGTGACGCGATGGTGGCGTCCGTCCACGATACCGCAGAGGATCTGGACACGGTGTTCCGCCTACGATAATAAATACACTGGTAAACGGTGCTGGTAAGTGTAGCCTAAGTATAGCCAAAGTAAGTATAGCCTAAGTATAGCCATTTAGCTAGAAAATGCAGCCAGCGTTCTTGGCACTACACCGTGTGAGTGAATATGGCACATAAATCGTAATAATAAGATAATAGAAGTCGCATAGACGCGTGACCTTGTCGCCGCTATGATGTGTTGACGAACATCATTCACCATTTTGTGAGTTAATTGCGCAGAGAATGTCGTACCTACATGAATTTATGTTATTAAAATAGTGAACTGCAGCATAATTAGTTGTAAAAACTCACCAAGGACGTGTAATTTAACTAATGAAGGCATAACATTTTATCGGTAGGTTGATTATTTACTAATTATCATTCATCATCATCATCATTACAGCCCTTTACAAGTCCAATGCTGAACATAGGCCTCCCCCAAGTAATGCCACAAAGCACGGTCCTGAGCCACCTGCATCCATCGACTTCCTGCATGTCTTACCAGGTCGTCACTCCATCTAGTGGGGGGTCGCCCTACACTACGCCTACCGGTACGAGGCTGCCACTCGAGAACCTTTCTTCCCCATCGATTATCGGTCTTCGAGCTATATGGCCGGCACATGCCACTTCAGCTTACTAATCCGTTGAGCTATGTCGGTCACTCTGGTTTTACTCCGGATATCCTCATTTCTGAGTCTATCACGCAGTGAAACACCGAGCATAGCCCTCTCCATAGCTCGCTGAGCGACCTTGAGCGTCCTCATTGAGCATAGTGCTAAGGTCCTCCAGCGATTCTGCCATAAGGACTATATCGTCGGCAAATCGAAGGTGAGTGATGTACTCGCCATTGATGTTAATACCGTATCCTTTCCAGTCCAGTAGCTTGAAAACGTCTTCCAACGCAGCGGTGAAGAGTTTTGGGGATATAACATCACCCTGTCTTACACCTCTCTGCAGTTGGATAGGTTTCGTACTCTGGTTATTATCATTGTTTTAACAAATTTATATGTATATAAATACTTTACTATTATATTTACCTTTGTAAACTTGCAATTATTACTTTTCGTATTTACAATTACCATTGCTGCTTTTGTTCTACCGTAATACGCGACGCACATGACGTTGACAAGTTTGCCAAGCAATGTAATGTGAAACATTAGATATCATTGTGCATTGCGTATATTTATAATACGGCTGCAGGCATTTTCGTGTACGTTTGAATGGGACCCTAGAGAACTTATACTTACATTTGAAGCCGATAAGTGGCGCTGTTGTCAAGATTCAAAAATCACCTATAATTAATTAATTTTAATAGGATGTTTGAACGTGTAGTAGAGTTGTTAGAATTTCCACTAACTCATATCATCCCGCGGTTGTCGTAAGAAGCGACAGAGAGAAACAAACCAGAAGATGGGCAGCAGGATCTTCCCAATAAAAACTAGAAATAAAGAAACTGCACCTGCCAACCTATCTGCCAAGCGTGGCAACTATGGCAAATATCCCCCTTAAGAGACTGATAACATATCCCCTTTAAGAGACTGATAACATATCCCCCTTAAGAGACTGATAACATATCCCCCTTAAGAGATTGATAACATGTCCCCCTTAAGAGACTGATAACATATCCCCCTTAAGATACTGATAACATGTCCCCCCTAAGAGACTAATATCATATCCCCCTTAAGAGACTGATAACATATCCCCCTGAAGAGACTGATAACATATCCCCCCTGAAGAGACTGATAACATATCCCCCTTAAGAGACTGATAACATGTCCCCCTTAAGAGACTGATAACATATCCCCCCTTAAGAGACTGATAACATATCCCCCTTAAGAGACTGATAACATATCCCCCCTTAAGAGACTGATAACATGTCCCCCTTAAGAGACTGATAACATATCCCCCTTAAGATACTGATAACATGTCCCCCCTAAGAGACTAATAACATGTCCCCCTTAAGAGACTGATAACATATCCCCCCTTAAGAGACTGATAACATATCCCCCTTAAGAGACTGATAACATATCCCCCTTAAGAGACTGATAACATGTCCCCCTTAAGAGACTGATAACATATCCCCCCTTAAGATACTGATAACATGTCCCCCCTAAGAGACTAATAACATATCCCCCTTAAGAGACTGATAACATATCCCCCTGAAGAGACTGATAACATATCCCCCTTAAGAGACTGATAACATGTCCCCCTTAAGAGACTGATAACATATCCCCCTTAAGAGACTGATAACATGTCCCCCTTAAGAGACTGATAACATATCCCCCTTAAGAGACTGATAACATATATTCCTAAAGAGAATGAGGTTGACTGAGAGGATTTTGATAGGTAAATAAACGACAGAAGACTAATGGGTCAGAGTGAGGACTACAAACTTGGAAAGTCGTGGGTTCGAATCCTCCAGTCGACTACTGCCGTAAGCCACTCCTAACATAAGTAGTTAGAGCTTACTTGGAGTTGTTAACGGGAGTATTACTTTTTTTTAAAGAGTCGGAAAGTCGATCCGCGATTCTAAATGCACATGCGTTGTCACAGGTCTCAGATGGAATTATTACCATTATTATCAGTAAAAAGTGTCCACGATACTCTATACTCACTATACGAATCACAACAGCATTATTTTGTAAAGAAAAAAAATCCGGTCGAGCTGGCCTACTCACGCTGCAACTATGTATTCACACAGTGTATGCTCTCCCACGGACAAAATATGTGATATATAATATCGAGAGTCAACTCGACCCCAGTCGAGGCCAAAGGCCTCGTTCTCACACGTTGGTGACATCATTAGAAATGAGCCGAATATTCGTTTCATATTCGGTATTCGGCATATTCGGCAGCTTTACCGAATATTAGTATTCGGCCGAATATTCGGCAAAATCACCGAACATTCTTTAAAGTGGTACTCAAGGTGTCCACTGTATTGAATTGAGTAACGCCATGTCTTTCATAATTTTACTGTGGAAAGTATATTTTATTTATGGGTTAAATCTAGCGTTATGTTTTTGAGGCACTGTAGATTTATTTCTAATTAAAGCAAATAGAAAGCTTGATAAAATGTTTTTTTTGGATTAAACAAAGTAACATTACATTACATTAATACATTTTAATTTACTTTGGTCGTTAGTTTCTCTAAAATAAGTCCAAATATTAGATCTCCTGCTACTAATTTTTATCATATTATTATCAATTTTCACTAAGAATAAACACAACGAAATACTTTTTTTCTCACAAAAATAGTCAAAACAAAAAAAATGACCCCGCAATTTGCTCATTACTAGATAATGCAATAACATGTCAGGTGTGGCGGAGGAGCGAAGGGCAGGATCCGGCGTTATCCTGCACGCTTTACTGTAACAAATTTCGACATAAATTGGTTAGGTACGCGGGTAATCCTGATGAATAATGTTCGTCCGAATATTCGATTCAGTAAAAGTTTTACTGAACTTTCGACCGAATATTCGTATTCAGTGAAATCCATATTCGGCCCATCTCTAGACATCATTATGCTATGCTATGTTGCGTATAGTAAGTGATGATAACCGGAGGTTCTTTTTACTGGTAACGTGGTATTCCATTTGGCTTTAGTGGTGACAACGCATTCATTTAGATTTTAAATCACCGATAATAAGTGTCTAAGGGCTACGGCAACCTACCACCTACCATCAGGTAGACTGTACGTTTGTCATTTTATGTTATAGGTATGCATGTGCCCCCTCGAACGAATTTCTTACCTAAGAGGAAGAAGGGCCTTTGCCCTTCTTCCACTTAGGTAAGAAATTCGGGAGAGGATAACTCTTTAGTTATCCTCTACCGAGGAGCAGCAGCCATGGGGTGGATGATGCTGGTGGGGCCGCGTGTGTGTGTAGAAGTGTTCCCATGGCCCTGCTTATATGCGACGAAGGTGGAACACCATGGGGTTCAAACGGTGCGAGTCCGACATAACCCGTCCTTACCGGTGGGTATGCGTAGACCTATGTCTCCAAGTAAAAAAAAGCCTCGCCAGAAAGCCCAGTGAGAAATAGATACATGAATCTAGAATCTACACCCCAAACCCATGGGGGATTGAACCTATATTCTCTTACACCAAAACCACAGCTTACCTTCGGATAATGCCACAATGTTCCAGTGGCCAGTATGCTCGTGAAAGAGAGTTGGTGCTCCAGATTGTAAGTCACATCGAGTGGTGCATAAGTAGCGATGTTGTGGCAAGTGGGTCACGTTCTGCAAAGTTACTTATTCTTAAGGAAACCTTTTATAACCAAGCTAATGATAAGACGATTTCGTTTTTGGTATAGTTTACGTGGAAGAGCCACTGTTATGTCTGCAGCACTAATGGGTCGGCTTGACCATAGAGGGACCACGTTTTCACATATGCGCTGCCCCATTTACACTCAGCCTTGTTGGGCAGGGAAGTGGGAAGCGCGTGTATGTAAATAGGCTACTCGCGCTGTCACTGCCCACGTCGCTGCCACTGCCCGGCGTTCCCTCGATTGTCGGTTTATCGCGCGGAAGTCAAAGGACGGGCAGCGCGAGCAGGAGCGAGTGTTTACATTCTCGCTCACTTGCCAACGAACTTCGACTGAGAAAGTGCTACGTTAAAAAAACGGCAATTCGTATCTTAACCTGTCCTGAGTTTTAATAGTATTTAGTAATGATAAAAACAATAAAATAATTTAAAACTATGAAATTGAGCAGGTAATATGGGATCCTCATGATTAAGACCATAAATTGTACGTAGTAGCTACTTATACCGAGCAGGCATAATGCTGTCACACCAACAAACTCGACGTCAGTCCTTGTTGCGAGTTGATCAATAAAGAAGTATGAAGGTTGAGTGTAAACACCCACTCGCGTCGTTTTTGCTGCAGGCGTAGTTACGGAGATATCCCCGGCAGCGACAGGAGCAGCAGCAGTGGCTGAGTTTAAATGGGGCAAAATTACCAACGCTACGTAGCAGCATAATTCAGGTGTTATTCATATGGTAAGAACACAGTGGTACATTTAACAGTGGTAGAGCCACGCGGCAGCTTTGCTGTTGCACGTATGGGCCGGCTCAAACCGGGGTGGTACCACGACCTCACAGAATACCGGCGTGAAGTGGAAGCTCTGCTTCCGCCTTTCGTCTGGTGAGTGCAGGTGGCTGGAGGCCCAAATCCTCCCCCCCATCAACATGGTAGCGGAATTAAATAATGATCGACTACCCCAGGAGGGTACCAGCACCCCTGGAGAATCCCTCGCTGAGCATCCACGACCATGTTTCTCCACTTCTGAGCGTAGGTGCTCAGGCTGCCCCGCGTATTCTGGGGGGGGGGGGGGCAAAATTCCGCTCACGACTACAACTGCTCGGGGCAAACGGAGCAACAAGACCAAGGCGACCCCTGCCACGCTGTCCGTGAATTTCTGCAATATCAGGGGACTTCACTCTAACCTAAACGCCGTCCACTACCATCTCGAGACGGCGAGGCCGGCTCTGCTCTTTCTAACCGAGACGCAGGTGTCCTCTCCGGCTGATGTCTCGTATCTCTCCTACCCGGGGTACAAACTGGAACACTCCTTTGTGCCTCGGGCTGGAGTTTGCGTTTACGTCAGAGAGGACATCTGCTCTCGACGCCTCGGCAGACTTGAAGGTTTGGACCTGTCCATCCTTTGGCTACGCGTAGACAGCGACGACCAGCCGCGCGTCTACGGGTGCCTCTATAGGTCCCATAGCGGTAATGCCGAAACAGACCGACTATTCGACCACGTCCAAATGGCTGCAGATTCGTTGCTACAGCAGATCCCCTCCGCAGAGATCGTGATCCTCGGCGACTTTAACGCCCATCACGCCGAATGGCTTGGTTCACGTTTAAACGATCATGCGGGGAGATCTGTTCATGATTTTGCCTTGGCATATGGTCTGACACAACTGGTTACTTCGCCTACGCGGATTCCAGATGTGGAGGATCATGCACCTTCCCTGTTGGACCTTCTGCTGACCTCTCACCCGGACGGATATCAGATTTCCGTCGACGTCCCTTTAGGCTCCTCGGACCATTGTCTGATCCGGAGTGTGGTGCCACTCACGCTGAAATCGCGGTTGCATTCTGCAGGCTGCCGCCGTGTTTGGCACTATAGGTCAGCCGATTGGGATGGGATGCGGTCTTTCTTTGCATCCTACCCTTGGGGGCGGGTTTGCTTCTCGCCGGATGATCCCAACGTTGTTGCGGATTCAGTTGCTGATGTGGTACTTCAGGGTATGGAACTTTTTATTCCTTCCTCTGTGGTGCCCATTGGAGGCAAGTCTCAGCCATGGTTTGGTCGCTCCTCTAAAATAGCATCATGCTATAAGCAGGAGTGCTACCAAGCCTGGGCTGATGCATCAGCGTCCCGGGATGTAAACACCAGCGCTCTAAAAAAGAAGTATAATTCCGCCTCTAGGTCCTTCAAAAGAGTCATTGCCAAGGCAAAGTCAGAGCACATAGGCAGAATTGGCGAGAAACTAGTTCGCCTTCCTTCTGGAACCCGTGCATTCTGGTCTCTCGCCAAGGCTGTCCAGGGGAATTTCTGTCAGCCATCTCTTCCATCTCTGCACAGGGAGGACGACTCACTGGCCCATACCGCAAAGGAGAAAGCCGATCTTCTAGGCTCTTTCTTTGCGTCTAACTCGACTCTCAATGACGGGGGGAGTACTTCGCCGACCATCCCGCGGTGTGAGTGCTCCATGCCGGAAGTGCACTTCACACAGCGCTCGGTTCGCAAAGCACTCCTCTCCCTGGACATCCACAAGTCGAGTGGGCCTGACGGAATCTCCCCAATTGTGCTGAGGACGTGTGCTCCAGAGTTGGCACCGGTTTTAACGCGTCTTTTCCGGTACTCCTACTCCCTAGGCGTAGTCCCAAAATCATGGAAGACGGCTTATGTCCACCCGAACCCTAAAAAAGGCGACCGCTCTGACCCGTCCAACTACCGGCCAATCGCCATCACCTCCTTGTTCTCCAAAACAAATGAGTCCATTGTAAACTGCCAGCTCATGAGGTATCTTGAGGATCACCAGCTGATTAGTGACTGCCAATACGGTTTTCGCCGTGGTCGGTCAGCTGGTGATCTTCTGGTCTACCTAACTCACAGATGGGCGGAGGCAGTAGAGTTCAAGGGGGAGGCATTGGCCGTTAGTTTGGACATTGCGAAGGCCTTCGCAATGCGAATATAATGAGAATAGAGGCGAGTCGATAAGAAAGCAAGTAATCTGCGAGAGTGCCGTGAAGCAGAGGCGAGCAGTACGGCAGAGCCGTGCCGAACACTGTATAGCGCAGAGAGTAGCTTGAAGGAACAGGAAGCATTATTATTCCAGTGCTGCGATGAACCTTGTAAAGCTAGATGGCTTGCAGGATGTTAAGACTGCAGACGACATCTGTTCGGGTGCGAATGGAGGGGTTACTTGATGACGATGACGAAGCTTGGAGTTGAGTTGAGAGTTGAGAGTTGTTCTGAAGGTTGCATTGTTGCGTGTTCAAAGCACGTCGGTTAGTCACCAGTTTGACCGTGGAAGGAAAAGGGGAGGTCTCTCGCCGGGCAAGGAGTTCTGCCCGGGGAGCGGCCAACGCTCCGAATGGTAGTTCGGAGCTATTCCATATATACTGTTTTTATATTTTTCTGGAATGCTTCGGTGGTTTGGTCACGTAGAAAGAATGAATGAGAAAAGAGTGACAAAGCAAATTTATATGGCAGATGTGAACGGCCGAGTCGGGAAGGGACGCCCTAGAAAAAAGTTTATCGACCAAATTGGCGATATTTTGAAAACACGTTAGAAGTACCCTTAACCGACGAGCATGTATGCGTAGATATATGGATGTAAAGGAGGCGAAAGAGGTATGTCAGGATCGTGCCAAATGGAAGTCCGTAGTCTCTGCCTACCCCTCTGGGTGACAGGCGTGAGTGTTTATGTATGTATGTATGTTTTTACTTCGCAACTTTGATAGCGCGGTTTAGGCTTCGATGTGTTTCGCTTGTGGCGCGACGACAGCGCCGCCACACTCCTTTGTGGCCCGGGCTGGGGTTTGCGTGGACGTCAGAGAGGACATCTATTTTCGACGTCTTGGCAGCCTTGAAGGTACGGACCTGTCCATCCTATGGCTGCGCGTAGACAACGACGACCATCCCCGCGTCTACGGATGCCTCTATAGATCCCATAGCGACCGATTCATCGACCACGTCCAAATGGGTGCAGACTCCGTGCTACAACTGGTCTCATCCGCAGAGATCATGATGTTTGGTGATTTTAATGCCCACTACGCTGAATGACTTGGTTCCCGTTTAACCGATCATGCGGGTAGATCTGCTTATAACTTTACTTTGGCATATGGTCGGACACAACTGGTTACCTCGCCTACGCGGATCCCAGATATGGAAGATTATGTACATATACCTTCCCTGTTGGGCCTTCTGCTGACTTCGCATCCGGACGGATATCAGGTCTGTGTCAATGCCTTCATGGCTACTCGGACCATACGAATACGGTGTAAAAACGTTGCGTTCTGCAGTATGCCGCAGTGCTTGGCATTATAGATCAGCCGATTGGGACCGAATGCGATCTTTTTTTGCATCCTACCCTTGGAGGCGAGTTTACTTCTCGCCGGATTATTCCAGCGTTGTTGCTAATTCGGTTGCTGATGTGGTGCTGCAGGGAATGGAACTTTTTATTTCATCATCTGTGGTAGGTACCACATAAGTAGGCTCTCCTATAAAAAAAACACTGGAGACAAAACGTGTAGATTCAGATTTCATGATATCTAATACGGTAAATGTGTGTGTAACCCCGTGCATCTTTGAATAAGAAATTAGACGTTATAGGCGTAATACACAGTAATAATTTTTTTAACTAAGCATATTTTTAACCAAAAAGGCATATTATATTATTATATGTTTGACCATTTTTTATATATATATCTGATAAAGAAAATTGTATCTGATTAATATGTTATTAAATTTTAAGACATTACAGACATAATTTAATTATTATATTATTATGTGTTAAATTTTAATGATGTTAATAATAGAAATAAGATTATTTTATGTAAATGTAATTAAAAGAAATTTCCATTCTAATTATTTCAAAAAAATATCATGTATTTAATTAGTTTGTACACCCGATGGTAGAATATGGCTGTAATATTTTTAAATTATCAAAACCTATTGTAACCCATATATCGCGAACGAATAAATTTATTTAAATTTGAATAAATCAATATTTTAACTGTGTTGCGTTTTGTAGATGCATGTAACTATCTTAATAAATTAGAAAGAAACATACTTTAGGATCATCGTACATGACACATTGGTCTTCGCTCAACGTTTCCAAATACAAAACTTCTTTTTCCTCTTCGACAAAATCCCGAGGGACCTCTGTAATCAAGAAAATTTTCGGTAACAATAATAATATATGAAATCACCGTAAGTCATCAAGATCATTAAAGCTTTTATGCCTGGTAGAGATTTATTGTGATTGGGCCACGGATCGTTCGGCTCGACCGGGAAAAACCTTAACGTGAAATAGCAGCGTAGTGCTGCTGTGTTTGCTGGTGGGTATAAAGCCCCGGAGATCCTTTATAGTGAAAAAGAGTCATTCTATTTTAGTCCTCAGGGGTGACAACGCATTTCACGTTTTGATTCTTAATCGAGGATAAATGTAGATGTCTATGGATAACAGTAAGCACATTACACTTACCATTAGGTGGATTGTGGTCGCTTGCCACCATTATTCTAGAAAAAAAAGCCTTATCTGTTCTTAATGTTGATATAGAACCTTTTTAAATAGCATACTAAGCATATAATAAAAAAATAATTTTTTTGTATATCCATTTTTTAATTTGTCTGCTAAGCGTGGCGATCATAAACAGCCGATATCATTACGGTGGCGATGCTGAACTTTTTCAAAGACTGTAAACATTTTGGATTTCATGATAATTAATCTAACGACTAGCAAATATAATAAGTATATTGGTTTAGCAGTTAATGTGGACCAACGTGACCATACTGTGTTTGACTTTATACTTAAGTTTTTCAATTTTTTTTTTCAATTAAATGTCCAGAGCCACTAGTCCGATTGACAACTATCCGGTCCATTTTTGTTTGCTCTTTTACTAGAAGTCTAGATAGTTTAGTTCTGGCAGTTTTAGCAAATATTTCTAGCATTACTCTCTGTATAATCTTCACCATATAAATTGAATCTCACACAATTGAATATCACAGAATATATCAAGCCTCGTGTATTAAACAAACTTCACTGCAGAAAAAATATAAAAGACATACCGCTAGCAAAGTCTACATAAATCAACAATCCTATAAGTTGTTTTCCATTTCTTTGGAGGTAATCCTTGTAGGGCAAACAGGCAGGCAGCATGTACCCTGAAACAGTTTAAAAATCCCTTTCTTTTTAGATTGGCTTATCTAGGATGTACAACGGTATGTCAGGATTAGGACAATTTAAGTAATATGTATTACGTATTAGAAGAGACGCCGAAATTTGCTCGCTTGCAACACGCATTAGAACCCATAGGCTCAAACTTACTTAATCTGTGCCTTAAAATGGTACTCTGTGCCTTCTTTTACGCGCTCACACAGTTTTCATTTACGGTATCTTGATAGATAGATAGATAGATAATTCTTCATTGTACACCAAATCAATACATAAACGAAAGAAGAAGAAAAAAAATAGTGACACAAAGGGCGGTCTCATGGCTAAAAGCGATTTCTTTCAGATAACCTTTGGATGGACAGGATCGCAAAAAGTAGTAAATTGTGTGGTTTGGTGATGCAGAAACAATCTTTATAAATATTGTTTCTGCATCATCAAACCACTTCATTTATTTGTTGTTTATTTCTAATTATATTTTATATAATATAATTAGAAATAAACACTTTTCTTTTTTTTGTTTATTTCTAATTATATTTTATATAATATAATTAGAAATAAACAACAAATAAATGAAGAAAAAATACGAATGTATACTACATATATAGATGGCACGAACTCAATGATTAAGATAGTGACTGTGTACAAGTTTCTGAAAAACAGGTAAAGACTGGGCGCGTCTCACTGACAGAGGTAGGGCATTCCATAGACGGACTGCTTGGATACTAAACGACCTGTCCATAAATTTGCTATTATGGGCAGGCATTTTTAATGTAAAATTCTCTGATGATCTCAAAACTTTCGAATGGGAATAGTGAAGGAATTTAAACCGATCCTTAAGATAAGAAGGATAGGAAGGATTAAAGAGAACATTGTAAAGAAGTGACAGAATATGAAGCATTCCGGCGAAGACGGATAGGAAGCCACTTGCGCTTTTTTTTTTAATAGGATAGGGTGACAAACGAGCACACAGTCCACCTGATGGTAAGTGGTTGCTGTGGCCCATAGACATCTACATCTATCCTCGATTACGAATCAAAATGCAGATGCGTTGTCACCCGTGAGGACTAAGATGGAATGCCTCGTTTCCAGTAAAAAGGGTCTCCGGTTCTCTGCACTCACCATACGAAACACAGCAGCATTAAGCTACTATTTCACGCTGGTATTCTGTGAGAGCGTGGTCCTTCCCCGGTCGAGCCGACCCATTCGTGCTACAACTATACTACTAATATAACTGCAGCATGGCTCTACCACGTAAAAAATTACGAAAACAAGATACGTGATCATATTTGCGCAAACCAAATATGAATCTTATACAAAAAGTTTGAAGACGCTCAAGTTTATCAAGTTTGCTTCTCAGTGAGATCAAGATAGCTGACATCTGCATAGTCCACAATTGGGAGAAGAAGAGATTGAGCAAGCGCAATTTTAGTGGCAGTAGGTAGAAAGTTCCTTAATCTGTTAAACGATCGGGCAGCTCCAAAAAGCTTACGACTAACCTCCTGTATTTGAGGACCCCATGATAGGTTCCTGTCAATATAAATTCCCAAGTCCTTGACTTTTTCACTAACAGGGATAAAATGTCCATTAAAAACAACTTAATGGTATCTTGTCTGGTATGTAGTACATATTACTTCAATGATTGGGACTTTTTTGCCTATAATATAAAGTGGTAAGTAGAGCTAATAAATTGCAGGTTGGGGGTCATTTCATCTAAGACCTAAGGTTACGACTCGTGTCTGGTCTTCTTTGTACGAAGCTGGTTGCAGGTACCCACCAGCTTTTTACCCGACCATATTCTCTCCGGAGCATCTTTGGAAAACTTATTTCGTTTCCTGAATGTTGTTAGAGGCAAATTTTAAAAATTCTAGAAAGATCTTATGCCTCCATGAAACTCGGACCGCTGATAGACAGTTTTAGAGTCTAATGCGAGACGTTTAGTATTTCTATCTTCCAATTTCCTGCGAAGAACGACCATTACTGAAAATTCTTTCAACAGTTGAAGAGACCCACAAGCCGTAAACTATCAAAGACTGTTAGAAGATGGATGTCTATTTTATACATTGAGGTATTACTACTACGTACAGAGATGACATCGCCTTGCACGATTTTGCGCCAGGCATTGCTGTTTAGTGAGTGTCCATGTCCAACGCGCACACAGACGAGTCGAGTTCGCTTCGCATAAATATATAACAACTTCAAAATGCCAGGTTGTGTTCTTAATGACTGCAGTAAACACTCCAGAACATCAAAAAAAAGTGATGGTTTAACATTTCATCGCTAAGTAGACATTAAAACGAGGTCCATAAAGTTGGCACCCGGAAATAATTATTAAAAATGCGACCAGGATAAATCGATTGCGTGTAAAAAATGTTGTTTATAGGTACTAATTATTTCTTTGCGCGTCAAATATTTGTTTAGATATTTATAAAAACAAGGCGGGTGCTGTGGAATAATGAATTTTTATTTTTTGCTAAAAATGACGGTAAAAGAATAATTAAACAATGTAAATTTGTAGATTTTCACATGCGCAATCAGCACCCGATATCAGTTTATCCATAAGTTATTTATTTACATCGTAAATAAATAATTAAATAATCCCATAACCTCAGACGTAGCGTCCGAGCTCGAGAGTGCAATATCCCTAGTACGCTAGCGCTTAAAGCGCTTTTTTCTTTAGTTGGCAGCAACAGCTTCCTAAAGAGCTTTGCCAAAAACCTATATTATTTACAACTTTATAGTTTAAAATCGTATAGTTATAAATTGTAACCTCTTTTATAATATATATAATAAAAGAGGTTACAATCTATAACTATCACTTTACTTGAAGCAAACTTTTGGTTCGGGATGTCTCTTCTATACATTAGTAATATATAGTTCGATGATTTTATATAATGATTACTTATATTTACGCGAACACTAAATATTGATTAAAACTACTTTTACGGATTATATCGCGTTTAATTTTAATTTTCACGTTTCGGGTGCTTTTCAGCACCCATGGTTACGGGGGACTGAGTTGACTGACGTCCCGATGTCATTGTTAAACCCGGAGTACCTTCAGCTTTTTTATTGTTTATGGTCCGATCTATACAAAATGCACTGACTGTGTCTTGATCTTGAAGTCTTGCAGCGGTATGCTTGGGTTTAGTTTTAATTTTATTGATTGTAGGGTCCCAAGCAGGTACCCAGCCTCCTTCTCTATTGAAATTAGCATGTTTTTTCATTTCAATAGTCTCACTTATCACACATGGTAGGAATCGGTGTTCTTTCGCGAGGATTTATGGTCTATCAAATCTGATGTAATGGTTGGGGCGGTCTAGGATATGATCACAAACTTCACGCAGACTTCCCGGAACGTTGATGCTTCACATCAGCTATATGTTCTTTCACGCGGGTTCTAATTGATCTTTTTGTTTGTCCTATATAAGAGAGACTTCAAGACACAATCAGTTCATTTTGCATGGATCGGACCATAAACAATAATTAAAAAAGCTGGAGGTACTCCGGGTTTAACAATGACATCGGAACGCCAGTCATCTCAGTCCTCCACGACCATGGGTGCTGGAAAGCACCCGAAACTTCGGATATTAAAAGTATTTAAAATTAAACGCGATAAAATCCGTAAAAGTAATTTAATCAATGTCTATTTTATATAACATTGGCCTCTCCAAGCACGGTCGTGAGCTATCTGCATCCATCGACTTCCTGCATCTATTATCAAGTCGTCACTCTATCTACCAAAAGGCCGCCGTACCAGTACGAGGCTGCCTCTCTTCTCTCTACTCGAGAATCTTTCTTCTCCATCGGTTGTCGATCATTTGAGCTATATTGCCGTTGAATTGCGAATCAGCTTACTATGTTGTCACTCTTAAGGATGTCAGACGTCCTTTAAATTAAAGGACGTCATCTATTTCATACTCAATAATTGATCTTGGATCCTAATTTGAAATCGTCAATAGAGGATAAGGCAATATCGCGCGTATTTGATATTCCCTCCGCTAGTAGAGATTAAAGAATTTAAAAATCACGTTAAAGTGACTAATTACGTTACATTGTATATTATAGTATTAACATTGCTTTTTTTATTAAGAAATGTCACTAATGATATCATAACAACGTTTTATTGAAAACAATATGATATATTCTCTATTTTTATCCTCTGTCCTTTATTTAATCTTATCAAATCTTCTAAAACGTAAAACGGGAGCTGGCACTCTAGTCACTCCGGTTCTACTGGGGATATCCTTATTACAAAGTCTATATAATATTGTAAATACAACTTACTCGACTTTATAGGTATCAGTAATTTTAACAAAGCAATACTGCTCTTGACGCCGAAGTGCTTGTACTCTGGATGCAGCAGAACGTCCGCAATCGGCATCAGAAGCACAGCCGGGTCACACTGCATTCCGCCCGCTATCCGTTCCACTGCCACCTTGCACTCACTCTCATCTCGCTCGTACTCTCCAAATACAACGTTGCCTCTGCATCATAGAAAACATCGATCAGAAAACTGCGAAGTTGTGTAACTTTGAAACTGGTGTTTGAACATAAACCAGCACGTGTTGTAAAAAAGAGAGAAAACAATAATATATTTTAAGGACAAGTAAAGTACGAAGTACAAGGCCCCCCCACCCCCCACCCTGAATGGTTTCCGACCCAGTCGTCACGCTATCCTTACCCTCAGGGGGCGAAATTTGGTTGCCAACAGATCCTTAGATCAGATCCGCCGCTTAGGTCAGGAAGGTTGGTATTTCCAAGTGTTCGTTTTTACTGACCCCGTTAACAGTACAGTTCCACGTATCGGAATTGTGGAGTATAGGATTTGCATGTAAAACTGGTAAAGGAAGTAAAGAAAAGCGTGTCTTGTGTCCTGGTTCTCTCACCTGAAAAGAGGAAGGGGAAGGAGTTGTCGTTTCCCGGAAAAAGGCTGCGATAGGGCCAGTGCTAGTGGGACCGCGGGTATGTACGAAAGCGTTCCCGTGGCCTTGCTAATATGCGGCGACGGTGGATGGGGTTTTAGTCGGTGCGAGTCCGACATAACCCGTTGCCCCCGTGAGGCGGGTAAACAACAGCTTCAAGGAGAAAATAGACAAATTTTTCTCTAAATGCCAACCTAAAAGTGCATCCTGTTCTAACGAATGAACGCAGGTCATGGATTGATGGCGGAAGATGCATCCAAATACACCATACCCAGATTTCACAGACTATGTAACTAGTTTAAATAAGTTTATGTCTTATGAAATTGAATGAAATACGCGAATCGCGAAAGAACACCGATTCTACCACGGATGATACGTGAGGCTATTGAAATTAAAAAACATCCTAATTTCAATAGAGAAGGAGGCTGGGTACTACCACCTGCTTGGGATCCTATAATCAATAAAATTAAAACTAAACCCAAGCATACCACTGCAAGACCTCAGGACATAGTCAGTTCATTTTGCATAGATCGGACCATAAACAATAATTAAAAAAGCTGAAGGTACTCCGGGTTTAACAATGACATCGGGACGTCAGTCATCTCAGTCCCCCGTGACCATGGGTGCTGGAAAGCGCCCGAAACGTCGGGAATTAAAAATAAAAAGTAAAAATAAACGCGATAAAATCCGTAAAAGTAGTTTTAATCATGTGCAATGTTCGCGTAAATATAAGAAATCATTATGAATGAAATAGCTTTGAATAGAACAGAATATGATGGAACAGAATGGAATGGAATAGAACAGAACAGAATAGTACAGAACAGAATATAACAGATTAGAATAAAATATAATAGAATAGAATGAAATAGAATAGAATAGGATGAAATAAGATGAAAAAAAAAATAGAAAAGAATAGAACTGAATGGAATAAAATGTAATAGAATGGAATAAAATGGAGTGGATTGAAATGAAATGAAATTTGGATTGGAGTGGAATGGAATGGGATGAAATATAATTGAATGAAATTAAATGGATCGGAATGGAATAGAATAGGATAGAATAGAACAGATATAGCATTAAATCATGTGAATTTATAGGGCGATAAAAAATCTTACAGAGCGTATCCTTCGGGAATCTGTGCCGCATCCTTCGCCGTGGATAACACAAACTGCTTGGTGATCAGTGAAACACGTGGCACTCTGTAGTAGTGTGGAGTTCCAGCTTTAACTGAAATAATTATATATCCATAAATGATAATTTAATATTATCATTGTCTATAGAAGTCTACGCCAACATAGGTCTTTCGCATAAATTGCCTTATATAGGAGATTTTCCCATAGTTGCAGTGTTTCAGTAGTGTAAGGATATCCGTTAGCCCATATCGTCCGTGGGTATCCTAAGAGAAGACAGAGGCAACCTGAAACAGGATATGGACAGCAGAATCTTCCTGATACCAACTCGGAATAATAAGCTGCGTTTGCCAACTTACATATTACTAATTTTTAGCTTTACCAAACAAGCGGAATGTTCAGTTAAAAAAAACTGTCGTAAGTGTCATTAGAAGCGATTATAGGAAATCTAAAAATGATAGATCGTGCGAAAGATATCTTCTTCTTCTTCACCATCATCAGCCTTTTAAATTATATAAATATAAATGTTTTTCTTATTTCACATTATCCAAGTAATACATAGAAGATGTTAGTAAATATGAAACTTATAATTTATGTTAGTACCTAAATCTAATTCTTAAATACAAGTGCCTTATCAACTAAACAGAGGCGGTAATATTACTTAAAAATAAACGAGTCATATCTATTAGCAATTATTATCATGATAGAGTTGGGGCTAGCCCGCACCCTACCGAGCAACGAAGCTGTTTTCTTTCTTATAATGGCGTAGTAGTCTTTATTATGTGCCTTTGCAAACACGCCTTGATGAACTGCAAAATCGGGGCAACCCAAAGAAGACCCTAACGCTATTATTATACTGGATGCGTAAGGCGTCGGCAGTCCGCTGTAAATAATTCAACCACAGACTTCACTTGTAGAAAACTTGACAGTAGACTTTAAATAATGTTATTTTGATGTTATTTTTAAAATATTATTTTGATGTTATTTTTAAAATGTTATTTTAATGTTATTTTTAAAATGTTATTTTTAAAGCCGCTAGAAATGGGGTCCTCCTCTTATAAAGATGATTCGCTATTTTACGCCTTGATACATTTATATATTTGTGTGGATCTCCCACAGTTATACACATTAAATTACTTCCAATACATTGTATAAATTACTATGTACTACCAATTATAGGAGAACACATCATTCTAAAACATTAGCAGTGTTTATGATTTTCCTATTTTAATGGGAGTTGGAACAAAGATAAATTTTACGAACAAAAGACAGTTGATAGTTTTTGTAACATAAATAAAAGTTAAGTTTAGCATAAAGTTTGAGAATAATGAATTTTCTAAACAGTGGTTACATTTTTTCATAAAAAGTGTGAGCCCAATACAACCAATGTCCAGCGTTGCTATGTTTTTACACATACATTGTATAGGCATGATATACGTGTTATTGGAGAATTCTGTCCAAGTTTTGTTCGAGTGCTGTCAGTCTTTAAGAAAGGACATGGGTTGCGAGGAGGTCTCCGAGGTACATTAATATTAAATCTGCTCAACAGCTCACTGTCATCAATTTATATTATTGAAAAGTTTATGAAGAAATTTCAAATCAAGAATTTTTATTTATTTAAGAGATGGTTACACTACCTGTTGAAAACCATTAGTTCTTTCTGGCATTTTCTATGGTCGCCTACAACAACACCCATGAAACGAAATGGGTCGATGGATACTCCTACACGGCCACCATATAACATCATCATCATTCATCATCATTATTACGGCAAGGAATGTCACAAAACACGGTCCTGAGCCACCTGCATTCATTGACACCCTGCATATCTTACCAGGTCATCAGTTCATCTAGTGGGGGGCAGACCCACCACTCGAGAACCTATCTTCTCCATTGTTGTCCATTTTTCGAGATATAGTAGCTCACTGCCACTTCAGCTTACTAATTAGTTGGCCTATGTCGGTTACTCTTGTTCTACTGTGGCTACCCTCATTTTTAAGTCTATCACGCAGAGAAACCATATAACATAACATCATATGAATCCTCACGCCTGTCACCCAGACGGGTAGGCAAAGATTACGGATTCTATTTAACATGATCTTCATACACCTCTATAGAGTACAGTCATATATACCAGATGTAGTTATACGAGTACACTAACCGATGGCGGCAACATCGTTAAATTTCAAGACTTCTGGAACTGCAATTGGCAATCATTCTGCCAAGCGTGGCTATTAGGACTACTTCTCCCTACTTTTGAATAGGCTCGAGCTATTAATAGATTATTTACAAATTGATGAGGAGGACATTTAACCATTAATATTTAGTTCTTCGGTGCTAATCCTTATGGAACTTGTATTTCTCACTTCAAATTTTTCTGAAGAATTTTTTATTTTCTTTTTTTATTTATTTATTTAATATTCTTTATTGCACACCATATAAAAATTACTAATTATATATACAAAAGAAGTATGCAATGGGCGGTCTTATTGCTGATAGCAATTTCTTCCAGACAACCAGTGAATGGACAGGATTACACAAAAATGACAAGGGTAGGGCACATTGGTGTGATAAAAAAGAATACACATTTCATATAAAGATATATACACACACACATATATATATATATATATATATATATATATATATATATATATATATATATATATATAACAAAACATACATAGACTACAAACATATATACATACAAAAATATATATATAGGTATTTAATTATTTAACTAAATGCAATCAATAAACTACATATATATTATATTATATTAAATGGCTAGTGTGGGAGCGAAGTGCAAGGTAATGGTTCTTTACTAGTTTTTTAAAAACCGGTAGGGATGGAGCGCGTTTGACTGCCAATGGGAGTTCATTCCATAAACGAACGGCCTGTACAGTAAAAGACTTGTTCATACATTTACTAGTGTGTAGTGGCATATACAATTTCAAGCTCTGTGCTGATCTCTGAAGCTTTTGAGGTAAGAAGGATAAGAAGGCTTAAAGAGAATACTATAGAGAAGATAAAGTATGTGAGCATTTCGATGAAGTTGTATCGGCAACCACTTTTTAATGAACAGATTAATCTTTAATCTAATACAATTTATTTTATAGGATAAGTGCGACAAACAAGCGCACAGTCCACCTGATGGTAAGTGGTGGCTGTGGCCCATAGTCATCTAAATGTATCTTCGATTACGAATCAAAATACAGACACGTTGTCACCTGTGAGGACTAAGATGGAATGCCTCGTTTCCAGTAAAAAGGGTCTCCGGTTCTCTACACTCACCATACGAAACACAGTTAAGCTGCTATTTTACGCTGGCATTTTTTTAAAGAAAATTAACAATGCTATAAACATTACTAATATTCCCCTTAGCCACTCGTGGTAAGCTTAAAATTGCTTGTGTTACGAGTGGTTCACGCCAGTAGTCGAATGGTGGTATAATAATTCGAAATTCGGTCTAGCCGACCCATTCGTGCTACAATTATATCAGTTTAGGGTAAAAAAATAGAAATACCGCTTCTTATTAGCATCCCGGAGTTGCGGCAAGCTTACGGCGTTGTACAACCGTGTCTCGGAAACGTGAATTGAACGTAAAGCCGTTGGCCTTGCGCCTGATCCCTTTCCAGTCGTGTTATATCGCCGTCCCATCGGACTATGGGAGTAAGGAAATAGAGAGTGCATCTAGGCTTGCGCAGACATTTGAGCACTGTAATCCCGTCCCATTATCATACGAAAGACAGCAGTATCTGTTATTTGCCGCTTAGATTCCGTAACAACTTGCTCATTCATTATTACCACCACATCATTGAACCACAAAATACATACGGCCGATAGTTATTTTGTGATGCAACCGTGCCACAGCTTCGGCGTGCCCCTACTACTAAGAAAAGATTTTTTTTAATTTATCTGTCCCAACTACGTTCCAAAAAAATTTAAATGGATCTTTACCGTGAATATACTGCAGGGCTCCAAGCCAATTAAACTGCAGCTCTGACAGTGTACCTTCATCGGGATCGAAGGCGGCATCATCGTGGCAGTCGAACATGTGGCATAACACAAAATAAACCCCTGCAATGGAATAAAACAGGTCAAGTACCAAAGTAGTAAAGAACATACAGAAATTATTGGACCACCGGGTACAAATCTCCTCATTTCTTGGGGGAGAGGTTGCTACTCCTTTATGAAATAGTGGAATTCAAATACTCCTAATTATTGTTAATTGTTTTATACCAACCAACAAACCACCCACCATCCGCACCCCGGCTGTGCTAGGATAGAATCTATTCATGTAGCATTATTTAGATGCAATGACATTGGGACGTAAAACACCTTATGGCCCCTCCATGGCTATGGTTGCTGTAAAGTACTCAAAACGTCAGGAATATTAAATAAATTAATATACGCGATAAAATCCGAAAAATTTACTTTAATTAAAATGGGTAGTGTCATAGTAAATATATGAAATCATTTTAAAAAACCTACCGTTGAAAACACTAAGAAACACCAAAAATGTCCTGAACATTTGACACCTCTAATAGAACAGCCAAATCAACACTGGCCATAAAAGAAATTATTTAAAACTGTTTACGAACTCGATCTTGTTTTCATCTAAAGAATGCACTGTTTTCAAACCACAGACTGTTTACGTAAAGAAAATGTGAAACAGGTTTCTATTTTGTACATAATTTACTTTCCCTAAATTGCAGATTATGCACCTCAATTCTCCCGAATCCGTACACCATCTCATGGAGGAAGTAATGCCTAAAAACCGGCACAGCAAAGGATTTGGGTCATAGTGCTGTGTTAACAAAAGCTGAATTAATAGCCCCGCAGCGTTACACCTGGAATCTTTAAAAGAGTAGGCAGAGTCGAAAGAGAATCTACTCGGACCACGTCCAGCCAAACAATATGGTCTTAGATGAAAACTTATTACATAAGTTATAAATGGATCGCCCATCGATTCCACAATCAAATAGGCAATATCCAATTGGTCGCCTTTTACGAAATACTGAGCAAGTAACACAGATAGTAGTTTATTCTTTTTTTCTTTGTAAAATAATGAGGACAAACCAGCACACAGACCACAGTTAATTTTTTTAAATTTCAGTCACGTCACGTATACGATATCAACATAGACATGCGGCCTGTCACTTTTTCCCGCCAATAACTGTAATCGCGAATGAACTGTAGTGCCAGATGCAGATAAATTAACTCCTTTAGCACCTAAACTGGCAGTTAGGCGCGTTTCAAAGCAATGGAATTGTTAGTGTAGGCGCCAGAAAATTATATTGTAATTCATTGTAACGGATTATGAAACGTTGGAGACGGCAGTGCCTAGTCATTTATTTTATAATCCTTGGTAGCGACGGCACTTAATACTGTGTTAACACACAGATCATCAAAAGAATTATTCAATATGTTCTGTGTAAATATTGTTTTATATATGAACGGTTGTTTAATGTCCATGTCACACCTATGCCCGTAGTTGTTAGGAGTACTAAGCTCGAAGTTGTTGAAAAGTACGTTTTCCTGGGACAAATAGTCCGATTAGGTAAGTCCAACTTCGACCGAGAGGTCAATCGACGGATTCAACTCGGCTGGGCACAGTTCGGGAAATTACGACACATCTTCTCATCAGGTATACCTCAAATACTGAAAACTAAAGTGTACAACCAGTGCGTGTTGCCAGTGATGACCTACGGAACCGAGACGTGGTCCTTCACTGCTGGCCGTATGAGGACGCTCAAAGTCGCTCAGCGAGCTATGGAGAGGGCTATGCTCGGAGTTTATCTGCGTGATAAACTTAGAAATGAGGATATCCGCAGTAGAACCAGAGTGACCGACATAGCCCAACGGATTAGTAAGCTGAAGTGGAAATGGGCCGGCCATATAGCTCGAAGAACCGACAACCGTTGGGGAAAAAAGGTTCTCGAGGGGCAGCCTCGTACCGGTAGGCAAAGTGTAGGGCGACCCCCCACAAGACGGAGTGACGACCTGGCAAGACATGCAGGAAGTCGATGGATGCAGGTGGCTTAGGACCGTGCTTTGTGGCATACCTGGGGGAGGCCTATGCTCAGCAGTGCACTTGTAAAGGGCTGTAATGATGATGATGATATATGATCGGTGATGAATGAAAACATTACGAGCGTCTTCTCTTATGTTAGTTGTAAAATAATGCTGCTGTATTGTTGTAGAGAGAGGAGAAAACCGAAGACAATTTGTACTGGTACCGAGGCATTCGTTTTTCGTCCCCAGGTCTGACAACGCATCTGCCTATTGGTTTTTAATCGAGTGATGTTGTTGTATCCACTTCATATGACCTAAATAAATTAGCTATTCGTTTATCAGCCTTAACTCTATAAAAACACTCTTGGATGGATTTCTGACAATAAACGGTAATGCCAACCGGAACTTATAACAGTTTATTGCGTCAAGGCCAAAGCAGCTGCGAGGAATTCAGGGGTCCTTGCAGAGGTATTATGTGAGAGTGTGATCGTACCAAGGTTGAGCCGACAGTGTGGCTCTACCACGTATATAATTTACTCTCTGCTCTCAAGGAACCCTGGTCCCAATCGGGAGTAACCTTGAGCCTAAGTCTTAACACAACTACAGTATCGTACTCTTCGGTGTCGCCTACCTAAAAGGGAACCAAATTCATGCCATCGGTTCTCTACCGAATCCTGAATGCCGCGAGGCTATAAAGTCTAATATATTTTATGGAGACAGACGCCTTCGGATAACGAGATAAAATTAAACAATAGGCATTTACCCGCAAAGAAGTTTTTTTTCTTTTTCTTTTTTAATTTATTTATGTACACACATCAAGATACAGAAGCAGTCTTATCGTAAGTTCGTGCGAAGGTTCTACTTATTCCATAAAGGATAAAGGAAGTTATATTGAAATGGCAAACTACTACTAATAAATAAATAATATGAAAAATGTTACGTAAATTATATAAAATAAAACAATAAATAAAAATAAAATAAATCAATACATAAAAATAATAAATGCGATAGTTGCATATGATATATACCTATAAACTGAAACTAATATAATAGAATAATATATATTAATCAACAGGATGCAAAAAAGCCATCTCTAAGACGTTTCTTAAATACCAATAAAGTTTCAGAATTCCTTATATTAGACGGTAGTGAGTTCCATAACCTTACCGTTTACCGCTGTGTGTCTTCTTTAAAGACACACAGATTTGACAGGCGGATTTTTCGGGTGTCACGTAATTTCCCCATCCAGTGTTGCGCCTATCTAGTAATCGTCTTCCTTAATGGTAAAGCTGTAATAAGCGACTAAACGTCACAGTCAAAACAACAAAACTGAGATTGCGGGCAACTTGGTTAGTCCTGTAGTCCCAGCTTTAAGTTTCCTTTCTACAATTGTTAACGCTAATAGAAAAACCAAACTTTAAAAATGGTGTTAACCGACTTCAAATACGAGTAACTATTTATAATACATCAATTTCAAATAAGAAATATTAATTTCAAATAAAAACTATCAATAAGATTTTTTATAGAAGAGCAAATGATCATGCGGCTCACCTGATGTTAAGAGTGCGGCGTCCCCATGAACAAATGCAACACCAGTGGAATTGCAGGTGCGTTGCCGATCTTTTAGAAATCCGGCAAGTCTCTTTTCTTGAAGGTAACACTAAGTCGTATTCGGTTCGGAAAAATTGCCGGTGGTAAACGATTCCACAGAGGATTCGTACGAGGAAGAAAACTCCCAAAAACGTACAGTCATTGTCCGTCAAACATCCAGATGGTGTAGATGGTGTCGTGAGTTTAGTCGCGACGTGCGTTCGTGAAATTTGGCGGCTAGAATTAATCTGAACGATTCTTTAGACCACTCAGTGCCGGCATGAAATAGTAACCCGCTAGACGCCAAGCTTTTTAGAGGCCAATTTGACCTTCACTTTCAAGTAACTATGAAACCGCACATCATTCGATATGTCGACGCCGAGGATTCCGATACTGGTTAAGGCAACAAGAGGAGTGTCTTAAAACTAAAAAGATACAACAAAGGGGTTCTTTTAGCGGTAAACGCTTAAACTTGTGTCTTCTGCTGATTGAATTCGACTAGATTTAGTCGTCCCCATTCCGAAACTTCGTTCAGCCAAGACTCGACTTCAGACATAAGTATTCGGTAACGTTTTCACGAGAAATACTGACACGGCCGGTGTATAGAGCATCACTGTCATCGGCATCCGTGCATTTGTATTATTGAGGTAGTTCCACTGAAAATCAAATGAGGGCATCCACGACTTTTTCTGCCATTAGGGTGGCGCTACTCAGAAATGAGATGTAATATTTGATAGATTTCATAGCGGGGAAGTTATTTGTTCAAAAATGTAAAGGTTAATGTTTATTTCAGTAATATTAGTTATATTTTATATTAACTAGATTAAAAATATGGAGTGTAGAAATAAGGGTTGTAGACTGTGTATTAAAAAGTGTAAATAGAAAACCGTTAAATAAGGGTGGCGCCACTATAGCTACGGGCTAAATTTTAAATAACCTGCCAAAAATATTAGTGGCATAGACGACTTTTTCGAGGTTATATTTACAAAATGAAATTATTTTAGATTTTAGAGTTACTGAGCAGTTTAGCAGCAGACTTCAAACCGTCGACAACTGCTAAGTTCATTTCATCCCAGTAGCCACTCCAGCGCTGTTGTGGTTACTGTTATTTACTGCTTACAGATGGCCACTTTTTTAACTATTCTACTATGGGAGTTGGTACTCCTTACTTCTACACTCCATAATTAAAAATAAATAAACCAAACCACAGATATTCATTAAAGAAGAAAAATTAAAAAATATATAAAAATTTTGGAGCCGTGGTAGCTCAGATGGTTAGCGCTCGCTGTAAATTTCGCAGTAGGTACGCTAGCAAACCGGGTTCGATCCCCGCCGGCACCAATGAAATTGTTAATTGCAATTTTAAGTGCTGATTTACCACGTGCTCGGCGGTGAAGGAAAACATCGTGAGGAAACCTGCATGTCTGAGAAATAAGAAAAAAATATTTCGAAGACATGTGAAGTTCGCCAACACGCATTGGGGCAGCGCGGCGGACACTTCCTTGCTCTAAAACCCTC